CATATTGAGAGAAGTTGATCATTAGACGTCCGTGTTATCGTACGGGCGCCATTTTCTGTTGGTTATTTTAGACTTAGTAATAACATTGCAGTTACAATGTGTCTATTATACTGGCGGTAATTTATTTGCTTATGTGTAGGTGCGGACAACTGCCATCCATTATCACTATGTTCTATATTTAACCTGTCAAGGCTGCTTGATGTGCATTTTTATTATAAAATATACAAAGTGTGCATTAAAACATATATAGTGTACCTGTCTGAGTAATAAAAATTTTTTTTGTAATGTTTTTTATTATAAAAGTAAAAGAGGGCAACATAAATCTATGTAATTCTTAATCTCTTCACGCCGGCTGCACGCAAATGTGCGGCCTCCCGGCGTCTGGGCCTAGATGCCGAGTGGCCGCACATTTGCGTTCTATTAAAAAAGGACATATGTGCCGAGAGTGTGCGCCCTCCCATCACACGTCCGGTACTCACGGAAAGGTCCCGATCTCCTCTTTCGATCGGGACCTTTCCCGATCATGTGACCAACGTGACGGTGCGTCGCGACGGTCACATGACCCTAAACCCCGCCCCCCGGCTTCTGAAACTCTTAAAGAGCCAGGAGGCGCCGGCGTGAAGGGGTTAATGAATTCCCAAGATGCTTATCTGATATTTTGGTTCTGATTTTGCCCTTCATGTGTTTTATCCTTGAAAATAGTTGCTCACAAATACAGGTGCTGCCGAAAACTGCTGACATGAATAAGGAGTGATTGTGAAGAGTGGAAGATTTTTTTTCTTGGGGAAGATAAAACAAAGTCCAGTAAATAGCGAACACATCCTGGCGAAGAAAAATTTGTCTAAGTGTAAAAAAAAATTTTACCAAAAATTTCAGCCTTTTTAATTATGTTTATGATTTTGCGTTGGGCCGCATTCGTAGCCGGTGGGACACCCCTGGGTATAAAACATACAACTGGAGTCTTTCTGTTGATGTGAAGCACGGTATAGCACAAAATAATTACCCATTGAAACTTGTTTCTGGTATTGTATAGATTAGGCAGGTAGCTACTGTGCGATGAGTAGTTAGAACCTGTCAGAATCATGCCTCTGTCCCCATCAGGGGGATTTCCTCTCATTTCCTGTGTTGTAAGCAGGACGGGAGGTTCTCCAAATAGGGGTGTAGACAGCAATGAAATCACTCTTTTTTTTTTTTACCATTGTCAGGTATTTATTGCTATTGGTCACTTGTGGAGATTTTGGGGTCCGTAAGCAGTACCAAAAGTTGGACAGAAGCTCTAACCTTTACCTGTTCTGCCCATTACAAGAAGTTAGACTTTTAAAAAGGTTTCCTTACTCTGAAAAAAAATTTCCTTAATAATCTGTTTGATGCAACGTTGCATGCTGTACATTTTTCAGTATCACCTTTTTAGATCTTTCTTTTTTGAGGAACAGTTGGCTTGGCTTGCAGCTGAGAGTGTCCATTTTAGGACATCTGTAGCATGTACACTCACCAGCCACTTTATTAGGTACACCTGTTCAATTGCTTGGTAACACAAATTACTAACCAGCCAATCACATGGTATAAATTTAATGCATGTAGGTATCTAGACATGGTGAAGACAACTTGCTGAAGTTCAAACCGGACATCAGAATGGGGAAGAAAGGGGATTTAGGTGACTTTGAATGCGGCATTGTTGTTCGTGCCAGACGGGCTGGTCTGAGTATTTCAAAAACTGATCTACTGGGATTTTCATGCACAACCATCTCTAGGGTTTACAGAGAATGGTCCGAAAAAGAGAAAATATCCAGTGAGCGGCAGTTGTGTGGACAAAAATGCTATGTTAAAGTCAGAGGTCAGAGGAGAATGGGAAGACTGGTTGCTGAGACATTCAGATGGTAGGGTCAGAATTTGGTGTAAACAACATGAAAGCATGGATCCACCCTGCCTTGTATCAATGGTACAGGCTGCTGGTGGTGTAATGGTGTGGGGGAGATTTTCTTGGCAAGGTGTATCTAATAAAGTGGCTGGTGAGTGTACAGCTCCTCTATCTGGCAAAACATTTCACATTGTATATTATACATTATAAATACTCTTGAGCTGAAAAATAAATCCGTTTTATAAATGAATGACTCATCCTTTACATCATGGTCCCATCAAAGTCCCCTTTACATCATGTTCCCCATCAAAGTCCCCTTTACATCCAGTTCTCCATCAAAGTCCCCTTTACACCCAGTTCCCCATCACGTCAGAGTCCCCCCTTCCTTCTATCCTCCTGTGAGTGCTGGGCAAGCTCATCATTGGTTTCTAGGATGGCAGGTTTAAAAGTAGATACCATAGGCAGCCTCTGCTGACCTGAATCCTCAAATCTGTGCACATTGAGGGTACACTACTTACAACAGCTGAAGGCCAGATGAAATCTTATGGTGGGCTAGTTGTGGCCCATGGATCATAGATTTAAGACCCCTGTGCTAACATCACACTCCAAACATGGTTGTTGCCACTGATGAACTTCATCCTAAAATACTGGTAGCCTGATTGTGCTGATCCTTTTAATACTGGGTCCCTGACCTGGAACAAGTATAGAGATAACGATTTCTGACATTTTTTGATCTGCTGCAGATCAATGAGTATCAAACTCAAAATAATGAAGCAAAAGGACCAGCATGACAGACAGCCAACTGGCATATTGGTTTTAGAAGCAGGTCAGCAATTTCAGCCTCCCTATTTCTCTCAGTACAGGTTTCCTTTACACTCTTGCACAGACTTTCCAGCCTCTTCCCTGCCTGGCATTACTTGTAGATTGGGTTTGGAAGATTAGAATGAAGACTGATACATAACAGCATGGTGTAGTAAGTACGGCCCAAAATGCACACTGTAGGACCAACGCTTAGCCAAGAGTTAAAAAGATCTATCATATTTTTTTACATTTTCCATCCCCTATGGGACAAAGTGCATGCAATACTTTGTCCCATGTTGCTTGGTGCTTCTTAAACCTAGCTATGAAGTCTGAACTGCAGACCCTCCTGCTGCCATGACATATCTGAAAACAGCTAGGAAGGAGATGAATGGTTCATAATGGCAGCTTGTCTCAGCTATAAGCACTTTTCCTAGACAAGCAGCAGCAAGAGTAATGCAGAGACTGACACCCCCCCCCCCCTCCTTCTGCATTGCTCTTGCTGCTAGTTGTATTGGGAAAGTGCTCAGAGCTGAGACAAGCTGCCACTGTCAAGAATCCACCTCCTTCCTAGCTGTTGTTGGATGGGCCATGGCAGCAGGAGAGGTGGTGCAGTTTAGACCTCTTAGCTAGAGTTTGGACAAAGCACCTAGAATCATGGGACAAAGTACATCACCTGTACTTTAACCCATAGACAAAGACACACAGGGTAAAAAAAAAAAACCAATAATAATAATGATGGGTATCCTTTAGGGATAGGAGGGGAGTTGGTGCAGTTTGGACCTCGTAGCTAGAGTTTGTCCCATGATTCTAGGTGCTTCCAAAACTCTAGCTAGGGTCCAAACTGCACCAACTCCCCTCCTATCCCTACAGGATACCCATCATTATTATTGTTGTTATTATTGAGTTTTTTTACCATTCTGTCTCCTATGGGTTAAAGTACATGATGTACTTTGTCCCATGATTCTAGGTGCTTCCAAAGTACATCATGTACTTTAACCCATAGGAGACAGAATGGTAAAAAAAACTCAATAATAACAACAATAATAATGATGGGTATCCTGTAGGGATAGGAGGGGAGTTGGTGCAGTTTGGACCTCGTAGCTAGAGTTTTGGAAGCACCTAGAATCATGGGACAAAGTATATCATGTACTTTAACCCATAGGAAACAGAATGGTAAGAAACCCACTAATAATAATAATAATAATGATGGGTATCCTTTAGGGATAGGAGGGGAGTTGGTGCAGTTTGGACCTCGTAGGTAGAGTTTGGAAGCACCTAGAATCATGGGACAAAGTACATCATGTACTTTAACCCATAGGAGACAGAAGGGTAAAAAACCCAATAATAATAATAATGATGGGTATCCTTTAGGGATAGGAGGGGAGTTTGTGCAGTTTGGACCTCATAGCTAGAGTTTGAAAGCTCCTAGAAACATGGGACAAAGTACTACCCATAGGAGACAGAACAGTAAAAATAAATAAATAATAATAATGATGGCTATCCTTTAAGCCAAAGCTGTCTACGGCAGCAGTAGGTCTAAAATGAGCAATTTCTGTTAGGAAAATACTTTATGCCTTGTTTTTAACTGATTGATAAGTAAACAATTCAAAGAGTGGGATGCTGTTTAAGGTGTATCTAACACCAAAGGTTTTTTGAGATGGAGCAGGGATTGGTTACAACCCCTGTCAGGTGTCCTACGGGGGCGATTTCATTTCACCTCCTGTTTGCAAGACAAAACGGGAATTGGGAGGAAATCTTTCCAAAGTGAAGGGAAATTCCCTATTATTGCTTTAGGAATATTTGTTTACTACTAACTAATAATAATTTTTTAAAAACTTCTTAGAAGGACTTTGTCAAAAGGGAATCATAGAAGCTGCCATTGATGAATACCTTTTTTGAGAATGCCAGCTCCAGGCAATTAGCAACTTCTACAAGAGGCCATCAATGGCACTCCTCATACTTCCCTCATGACAATATCTTTAACTGAAATATGAATTCCATGAATGTGTTGGCTGTGATCACTCTTTTCCCTGTATCTGGTATTGTAACACTAAACCATTGCCCTCAATAAATAGACTCTCTAGACAGAGTTTTATTTCATAGAAAATAACATAATGTATTCTTTTCTAGCTAAACAAAAACATGAAAATCCTTTTTGGAAAGTGTATTGCTATTTGTCCAAGGAGAACAAGTTGTTCAAGTATTTCCCCGGAGCCGCCAACTCCACTCGGTTTTGACCTATAGAAACGGCTCCTGGTTTTTGTAACAAATGTTAATGTTTCATCAAAAATAGTCAGAGTGGTTTGTTCGATAGTACTGATAAAAAATATATCATTAGAAATTAAGATATTGACATCTCTGGGACTAAAGGATCAACAATGTTAGGGAGGTCCTTAGAATCTAATGAGTAAGATTGTCTTTTCAGGGTCTCAGGTTCCAGACAGGAATGTCTAGAAGCAGGCATGCACTCCGGGCAGTAGGCAATGTGTCCACCAGTTCTCTGCACGGTTAGAAAGTCGTCCCTCTCGTTGAGTATATGGCTGATAAAGCCACAAGAACGGGAGGCTGGGTAGCGAGAAAGACTATTTTCCATGGAACAAATTTCAATAGAATGTCTTCTGGCTTCATCCAGCCATGAGGTGGTTTTTCTAAGGGCACCATGTGCATCAACACTGTAGAACTTCTTCATGTCCTTCAGAACTACATTGTTGCTATTTTCCAGTTTTACCTTCTGGCTTAACGAGTAAGCGGCAGAGTAGAGTCTTAGCGTTTCGCACGCTTTTAAGCTCAAATGTTTTTTACAAAGAGACGTACTCAACAAATGTGTCCTTTCTTGGGCTGAGGATAGTTCTTTCAAAGAGTACCTATTAGTCTGGGCAGGACTCGGCCACTGGTGAGTATCGCGACAGTGTTGTGTGTATGGAGTGCATTTTTCCAGATCACAAAAAGTTCTTTCTGGCTCCTTTGGCTTTGGAGCATTTGGCACCTCTGCAGATGGTTGGCAAACAGGTAAATTCACGAAGAGATGATCCACTGTATCTCCGTTGTCATTTTCCTTACTGTCCAACAGCATGTCAAAAGAGTCGTTATGGATCGCCTTCTAAGAAGACAAACATAAAAATAAAAAGGTAAGTAAATTCCACTATATAATATGACCCCAGGGCTTTTTTTCAGCAGGAACATGGTGAATGCAGTTCCGGCACCTCCAGCACTGAATGTATATAATGGCAAGGGGTGCTGGGGCGTATTGGAAGTTCTATTTATGCTGGCTGCTGGGGGATCTATTGTCACTGGAGGGATTCTACTGCTGCTGGGGAGGTCTATTATTGCTGGTTGGGGATCTATTGTTGCTGGGGTGGGTCTTATGTTGATGGAAGATCAGCTGTTGCTGGAAGGGATCTACTGTTGAGGGAGGGGTCTATTGTTGCTGACTGCTGAAGGGTATTGTTGCTGGCTGCAGGGAGATCTGTTTTTGCTGCTGGGGGTCTATTGTAGTTAGGGGAGTGGGGGGGTATTTTGTTGCTGGTGGTCCATTGTTGCTGGAGGAATCAAGTCTATTGTTGCTGGCTCCAGGGGATCTATTTTACTACTTTTCTTTCTTTCTTTCCTTATAGATAGGAGTGAACATCACATAGGAGAGCCTGGTGTATGTATTTGTAAACTTTGGGCAATTTGAAATAAAATAGAAAATTAAATACACACCTTTCTGTAATCTTCCTTTCCTGAAATGACATCCATGGTATTCATATGGGTTGGATGTGGGCGGAGCAACCAACCGTATGTATGCTGCCATGGAGGCACCAGGAAAATGGAAAATGGAATACTTTTCTTTCCGTAATTTTTCTTTCCTGTTACCTATCCATCCTACTATGTAGCATACATAAGGTTGGTTGCTCAACCCACTTCCAAGCCATATGTATGCTGCCTTGGATAGGTGCCAGGAAAGGAAAATTACTGAAAGGTAAGTATTCAATTTTCCATTTCCTGGGTGCCTCCATGGTAGCATACACATGGCTGATTGCTTCGCCCACATGCAAACCATATATATGCTGCCATGAAGGCACCAGGAAAAGAGTTTATGCCAATTTCCTGTCCTGGTGCCATTGTAAATGTTCTCTCCCATGCTGTTCTTCCAACAGGCAAAATTAGGGGGAGATTTACTAAAACTGGAGCACTCAGAATCTAGTTCAGCTGTTCATGGTAACCAATCAGCTTCTAACTTCAGCTTGTTCAATTAAAATTTGACGATAAAATCTGGAAGCTGATTTTGCACCATTAGGTTTTAGTAAATAACCCCCATAAACATGCAAACTCATGAATGCTCCACCAAGCATAGATTTTTAAAGAACAATACCAAAGAGCCAAGAAAGTCAAAACTGGATGTTCAGGTATGGGAAATGTTGGCCAAGGGAGACTGTACAGAATTGCCCATACAGACTGTACCCATAGAGGTTTACTTTATATCTGATCCAGGGTTTCTCAATCAGAGTTCTTTGGAACCCTAAGACTCCCCCAGAGATTGCTAGGGGTTCCTTGAGCAATGAGCAATTTCTTCCTCTCAGATAAGTTCCCACTGACACCTTTGATCTTTTTAGCTATCTTAAAGGGGGTCATTTTTCCCAATGGCCACAACTGTAAAGAGCATTCTACCCACTGATCATCACACTAACGTATCATGAGTTGTAGATATAGTCATTATTAACAGGGGTTCCCTGAGACTGGAAAGTTATTTCAAGGGTTCCTATTTGTTGAAAAAGGTTGAGAAAGGCTGTTCTGAACTAACATTAACCTGTTGGATTGTAAAGCAATCGTCTTGTCTATACGCAAACCTTTAAATCTCATGGAAAATCCTAATTTATTTATTTTTATTATTTCTTTTAATTTTATTTTAATTTATTTATTAATTTATTTATTAAACATTCTTTATTTAAAGAATGGCATAGGTATACAAAAACGGTTACATAATATGGAAAATTAAAATTTAATAATATAATTGTTCACAAAATGTTCAGGATGAGGTACCACAGCATGGAGTCTGTTCTGCTGCCATTGTAAATGCACTCTCCCATGCTGCTTTTCCAACAGCTAAACACTGGGGGAGATTTACTAAAACTGGAGCACTCAGAATCTGGTGCAGCTGCACGTGGTAGCTTCTAACTTCAGTTTATTCAACTAAGTTTTGGCAATAAAACCTAGAAGCTGATTGGTTTTTATAAAGCGCTGCATCAGATTTTGTACTCTCTTTTAGTAAATGACCCCATAGTGTCTCCTCAGGGAATAAACAGTACTTTAAAAGAACTAGAGGTTCCCTTCACAATTGGGAATCATTCCCTTTTATTTAGTGTTTGGGTAAAGAATCTACAAGACCTAAAGGTTCAGTCAACTGCTGTCTCTGAGCTAGACCTACAGCCAATATAAAGTGGAACTACACTATATGACCATACTGTATGAGTGTGTTAGACATCCCATACCAAAATCATGGGCATAATGTGAAGTTGGCCCCTCTTTGGTTATAACAGCCTCCATATTGCTGGGAATTGTATCTGTGGGAAAACAATGTCAGATTGTAATGTGTATAGTACTGATTTAAAATGTGATGGGTTTTGTTTATATATCTTTTGCGGTTGGGGTTTTGCTCTGCCGCTGTACCTGGTTTTCATTATATGTATTTGATGTGCTGCACCAAAACACAGAGGTTGTGAATGCAGCTTATATTCTACATATGCACCATAGCCCATATGGAAGAAAAATCAGTCAGTAATTGCCAATTGCATGGGTGTAACCTCCCACATGGAACAAAGATATATCTGAAATATATTTTAAAAATCTTCCCAAATATATTGACATATATTTGAAATACTACAATTTTGGCCGTATTGAATATATATATATTATATATATATATATATATATATATATATATATATATATATATACATATACACACACACTGCATGTTGAAATGCTTTTTTATTACAAAATATATGAAAAATATTTTTAAAAATATATATTTCAATTATACTGTATGTCTTAAAAAATACAAATCTACATTTTTGGAATGCATTTACATATATATGTTAAAATGACTTCTTTATATGTTCAAAAAAATCTGAAGAATATATTTAAAAAATATATATTTTTAAAAATATTTTTCATATATTTTGTAATATAAAAAAAATGCATTTTAACATGCATGCATGCATATTAAAATGCATTTTTATATATATATATATATATATATATATATATATATATATATATATATGTGTATAGACACACACACACACTGCATGTTAAAATGTGTTTTTTATTTATTACAAAATATATGAAAAATATTATTGAATATATTTTAAAGATATATATTTTTAATAATATTTTTCATATATTTTGTAATAAATAAAAAACACATTTTAACATGCAGTGTGTGTGTGTGTGTCTATACATATATATATATATATATATATATATATATATATATATATATACATAAAAAATGCATTTTAATATGCATGCATGCATGTTAAAATGCATTTTTTATATATTACAAAATATATGAAAAATATTTTTAAAAATATATATTTTTTAAATATATTCTTCAGATTTTTTTGAACATATAAAGAAGTCATTTTAACATATATATGTAAATGCATTCCAAAAATGTAGATTTGTATTTTTTAAGACATACAGTATAATTGAAATATATTTTAAAAATATTTTTAATATATTTTGTAATAAAAAACGCATTTTTTATGCAGTGTGTATATATATATATATATATACACACATAGATAGACACACTGCATGTTAAAATGCATTTTTTTATATATTACAAAATATATGAAAAAATATTTTTTAAAAATGCATTTTTTAAATTATTTTGATTTTTTTGTGTAAAGAATATTTAAATATACATAAATGCACATTTGTATTTTTTAAGACATACAGTATAAAAAATATTTTGCATATTTTTAATATATTTTGTGCATTTTTTTTTTGTATGTGTGTATGTATATATATATATATATATATACACACATAGATAGAAATGCATTTTAACATGCAGTTGTCTATCTATCTATCTATATATATATATATATATATATATATATATATATACACTGCATGTTAAAATGCATTTTTTATGTGTATATGTATATATATATATATATATATATATATATATATATATTTATTTATTTATTTATTGATATGACCAAAATTGTAGCATTTCAAATATATGTCAATATATTTGGGAAGAATATTTTTAAAATATATTTCAAATATATTTTTCTTCCATGTGGGAGGTTAGTCCCATACAATTGGCAATCACTGACTGCACTATTTTATTATACACTGTAAATCGACATCACAACATTATAACCAGAGATGGAGAAAGTATCCTTACCTGTCTATACAGCATTCTGTGAGTGGACGGTGATCGCATTGGTACGTTGATTTTGGTATGAGGCCTTCAGATTTTCTGTCATTTATCGTAGACTCTTTTCGTCCACAACTGCCGTCGTTTAACTGACACTGAACATGGACACTGGAACCTGAACAAAAAATGGGCAGAAGTGTATAAACATTACAAGAGCTTTATGACTTCAAAGTATTCTTTAGGATCTATTTATAAAACATGAATTGCACACATTGTTGGTTTACAGTATCTAATAATTAATTCTGTATGGTTAAGGCACCATACAAGACATATAAGGATGGTCACTTTAGCTGACATCATACTATAGGAATGTCATTGTAAACTGACTATATGGACAAGCCAGCCCACTAATCTCCTTCCAGGAATGCGCTATTTTCCTTAGAAGGCCATTTTGTTCCAGTGGGGGTAGGTTGATAATTTCCTTAGATTCAAGTCCTATATACCAGGGGTGGGCAACTGAGGCCCTCCAGCTGTTGTAGAAGTCCCATGAGGCATTGCAAAACTGACAGTTACAAGCATGACTCCCAAAGGCAGAGGCATGATGGGACTTGTAGTTCACCAACAGCTGGAGGGCCGCAGTTGCCCACCCCTGCTATATACTATAGAAAAAGCTTGGAGTAACTGTCTCTTCCCAGAGCTGCATCATGCATGCATCTGCTCTGATTGTCTGTGCCACACCGCAAAAGCAGGCGGGACCCATGGTGGAAAAAAAGCATCTTTAGTTAAGTATCCTTGTTATATTTTCTAATATAGATATCTGTATCTATCGTTACTTTTATTAAATGTTATACTTATAAGTATTTGTATGATCTCTCCCTGCACATATGGAATACAACCCCACAAATGTAAACTATCACATATCCACGATGAATTAACATCACAGGACATTTATGACTTATTTATTTCAGGTACTTATATAGCGCCGTCAATGTACACAGAGCTTTACATATACATTTTACATTCACATCAGTCCCTAACCCTCAAGGGGAGTACGATCTAAGGTCCCTAACTCACATTCATACATACACATACTAGGGACAATTTAGACAGGAGCCAATTTACCTACCAGCATGTCTTTGGAGTGTGGGAGGAAACCGGAGTACCCGGAGGAACAGGGAGAACATGCAAACTCCGTGGTTGGGATTTGAACCCAGGACCCGGGTACTGCCAGGCAGAAGTGCTAACCATTTAGTCCCTGTGCTGCCCACTTCAAAGTATTCTGTAGGATCTCTTTATAAAACATTAATTGCACAAATGTCAGAAACATTCATACAAGCTGAAATTTTACCATGTTTTCTAATAGAGTAACTCCTTTATCATCAGCTCTATCGAATGGCCAAAATGCAGTATAGCTCATAGGAGCTTACACATGATTTCTTCATTTTCCCCCCAGCATCTACATGGAGCTCTGGAAGAGCAAACAGAAAGTAAGTACTGTATGTGTTGCTGGTGCTGCTTTGCCCTCCATAGGCAAAGTACAGATTGACTTTAAAGAAAACTTTTGATAAAATACCTCAGGCTACCACTGCTTGCCTTCTTCATGAATCACATAGTTACATAGTTAGTCTGGCTGACAAAAGTCCATCCGGTTTAACCATTAAAAAAAAAAAGTTATAATCCTACATCCACAGTTGATCCAGAGGAAGGCAAACAAAAAAACAGCAAAGCATGATCCAATTTGCTCCTGCAGGGAAAAAAGTTCCTTCCTCATCCCCCGAGAGGCAATCGGATATTCCTTGGATCAACTTTACCTATAAATGTTATATCCAGTTATATTCTGTGTATCTAAGAAAGAATGCAGGACATTTTTTAAAGCAATCCACTGAGCTGGCCAGAACCAACTCATATCCCCCCTTATGTATTATACACAGAGATCATATCCCCCTTATGTATTATACATGGAGATCATATCCCCCCTTATGTATTATACATGGAGATCATATCCCCCCTTATGTATTACACATGGAGATCATATCCCCCCTTATGTATTATACATGGAGATCATATCCCCCTTATGTATTATACATGGAGATCATATCCCCCTTATGTATTATACATGGAGATCATATCCCCCCTTATGTATTATACACATGGAGATCATATCCCCCCTTATGTATTATACATGGAGATCATATCCCCCTTATGTATTATACATGGAGATCATATCCCCCTTATGTATTATACATGGTGATCATATCCCCCTTATGTATTATACATGGAGATCATATCCCCCTTATGTATTATACATGGTGATCATATCCCCCCTTATGTATTATACAGGGAGATCATATCCCCCTTATGTATTATACATGGAGATCATATCCCCCCTTATGTATTATACATGGTGATCATATCCCCCCTTATGTATTATACATGGTGATCATATCCCCCCTTATGTATTATACATGGAGATCATATCCCCCCTTATGTATTATACATGGAGATCATATCCCCCCTTATGTATTATACATGGAGATCATATCCCCCTTATGTATTATACATGGTGATCATATCCCCCCTTATGTATTATACATGGAGATCATATCCCCCCTTATGTATTATACATGGGGATCATATCCCCCCTTATGTATTATACATGGAGATCATATCCCCCTTAATCTCCTCTTCTCAAGAGAGAATAAATTCAGTTCCTCTAATCTTTCCTCATAGCTGAGCTCCTCCATGCCTCTTATCAGTTTGGTTGCCCTTCTCTGTACTTTCTCCAGTTCCCCAATGTTCTTTTTGTGAATTGGTGCCCAAAACTAAACTGCATATTCCAGATGAGGTCTTACTAAAATAAAAATGCTATTTGCCTGGCTGCCATACTTATTCAATAGCTTTGGAACTTAAGAAAAAAAAATGTTAGCCAGGCCTCTAGCATTTTTATAAGGTGATCAGCAAAGGCAACCTCCATATTTGTCTCACCATAGGTTTTCTTTAGGTGCAGATGTCTACTGTCTTCAATATCTGTGCACCCTGAGAACCTTCGATTTTGGAAGCATACACACAAAAGAAGCTTCAAACTCTGACTTTGCACTCCCCTGGCCCCTTCACACAGGTGGGCAAGAGAGTGGTAAAATCAGGCAGTGGTTTTACTGCCCCCCAGGCTAAATTCAACCATTGCTGCTAGATGGGGATGTACACATGGTTGGGTCAGGATGCCTTGCTTTGTACCTGGGGCAATTTATAGCTCGGGTTGCAGAGTCTGACAGACCGCAGTTCCTGTCAAATGCTCCCATTAAGGTCAATCGGAGAGCACTGAGTGCTTGGCTCACAACTGCAGTGTGGTAGTTTAAAGTGTTCCTAAACCCACAACAGTACAATCAGTCTGTAGATGCAGTAAAGCATGCTGGTTATACTCACTGTGGAACCTAAGGGGTTAATCCTCATTGTGTAAAAACGCTGTTTGATCCTGACGTCTCTGACCCTCCCCTTCTTCCAGTGTCCCCCTCTTATCTCCTGATAAGATATATCATGTGGAGTCACTCTGCACATGCTCAGTTTGGCGTGTATTGCTTTTTTTTGGGGGGGGGGGGGGCACAGGGCCAAAAACGCAACTTTTTGCATTCAAAAAAAAGTCCCTGACCCTTTCCAAAAAACGCACCGGGTGAAAACACGGAGATGTGAACATGTCCCATAGGAAATCAGATTAACCTCCCTGGCGGTATTCCCGAGTGTAGCTCGGGGTAACATTTCAGTACCAAAAGCGGTAACCCCGAGCTACACTCGGGAATACCATGCGGCACTGCTCCGGCATGTGTTCTTCACTTACCTTACCCTGTGCTCCCACGATGTGTCCCCTGCAGCGTCCCCGGCCATCTCCTCCGGCCGATGCCGGCATCCGGCTTCTGTGTCCTGTCCCTGTGACGTCGGGACGTACGGGCCTGGAAACTGAGAAATGTCCATGGCGTCCAAAAAGTGTCCCTTTAGGTCAAAAGCGGTTTAGATCAGCTAGAGAACAGCGATAGTAAATCAGAACCACTTACAGAATTGAGTGATAATGATTCGTGGGGGAAATTCGTCATCAGAAACTGAAAACGATTTTGCGACTGAGCTCAGCAATGTGCGAACTTGGTGCTCTATTTCACATTTCAGTGTTTTTGGTTTGATTATATTATTGAATTAAATTTTTTATTATTTTTTATATTATTTTTATGATTATTTATTAAATTATAATTTATGATTTTGTGTTTCAAATTTTATCATACCCGGGATGTTTACTAGACTCTTGTTCGGACAGATTTCAGTGAGTTTTTCCTAAAAATTACAGCCTACAATAAAAAAATACATATTTCCATGCAAAAAAATGGTACCGCTTTCAGCACCAAAAATCTGAAATAATCATACCGCCAGGGAGGTTAAATGGACAGTACTGTGTTTCTGCAAAACGCAAAATACTGCAGAAAACGCTTGGGTGTGAACCAAGGGTCATCAGAGCAATTAGTTGGTATAGGTGTAGCCAGGGGCAGACTGACAACTCATGGGGCCCCCGGGCAATAGGGGATCATGGGGCCCCTGTGTCCTTGCCCAAACTCAAAAAAGCCTATGAAAAAGGTACCAGGGGCATCTCATGGGGCCCCCTACTGACCCCGGGCCCTCGGGCAGTGCCCGAGTTTCCAAATGGTCAGTCCGCCCCTGGGTGTAGCACTTGATCTCTCACCTGATTTTTGGCAGACTGGTATCCTCTTTGCCTGACACTCTGCACAAGATTCCCCCGTCTGTAACATGTAGCTGTCATTTGGCAGGGAGTGGGTTCGGCACACCGGTGGCTTCTTCACACTTAACAAGTTGCTTTCCTTCGTGCTTGATGATTTTTGCTCCGGAGAAAAGTCAGTCTGAAATTCAAATGTTGTAATTCAGAGAAATGTCTAAGAAAGGTTTATGAGATAACTCCCGTCAAAACATATTTTCTGTGATGCTACTGGAGATTTTCCCTCCTCTCCTGTCTGGTGAAACCAAAATCATTGGGAAAGTAAGGCTCCATACCAGGGGCGGACTGACGACTCATGGGGCCCCCGGGCAATAGAGGATCATGGGGCCCCTGTGTCCTTGCCCAAACTCAAAAAAGCCTATGAAAAAGGTACCAGGGGCATCTCATGGGGCCCCCTACTGACCCCGGGCCCTTGGGCAGTGCCCGAGTTTCCAAATGGTCAGTCCGCCCCTGCTCCATACACATTAGTGTTTTTTTTTAAGCTAAAAAAAAAAACGCTGGATAAAAAATGCTGGTAATAGCGTGTTTTAGTAGCATCCAGAGGTGTTTAGGAGCATTAGCATCCTATGAACATTTTTACAGTATATGTAAAGGAATAAAAACCAAAATCTAGTAAAAAGCTGTTAGGAGTGTTTTAGTACGTTTAGAAGTATTTAGCGTTTTTTTTTTTTCTGATGTAAAAACGCTCCAAAAAACTCTACAAAAACAATTTTGTTTTGTGATCCTAGACGCTGAAGCTCAAAAAAATGCTAATAGCCTAAAATAGTGTGCACAGACACATAGGAGAACACTGTTTGGCTTCTAGGAGCAGAAAAAAAATTTGCTGATAACAGCTTCTAGGAGCTTAAAAAATACTAGTGTGCATGGAGCCTAAATCCCTCTAACAGAGCCCAGGATAGCAGTAATAACCAGAGATCTAACCCATATGAAATATATATTAAAAATATTCTTCCCAAATATGTTGACATATATTTGAAATGCTACAATTTTGGCCCGTATTCAATATATTTCAAAATATACTTCAATACATATTTATTTATATTTATTTTATTACAAAAAATATATGAAAAATATTTTTAAAAATACATTTCAAATAAACTGTATGCCTTTAAAAATACAAATCTACATTTCTGGAATGTATTTACAAATATATGTAAAAATATATGTTAAAATGAGTTTTTTTATATGTTAAAAAAATCTGAAGAATAAATTAAAAAAAAAGCTATTTTTAATAATATCTTTCATATAGTTTTTAATATATAAAAAATGCATTTCAACATGCAGTGGGTATATGTGTGTGTATATATATATATAAATATATATATATATATTTAATATATGGCCAAAATTGTAAATATATATATCCCAACCACGGCACCACCTGCCTGGAGTTTGCATGTTCTCCCTGTGCCTGCGTGGGTTTCCTCCGGGTTTTCCAGTTTCCTCCCACACTCCAAAGACATGCTGATAGGTTAATTGGCTCCTGTCTAAATTGTCCCTAGTATGTGTATGTATGAATGTAAGTTAGGGACCTTAGATTGTACACCCCTTGAGGGTTGTAGACACTACAACTTTCAGACTAATCAATATACACTTATTATTTGGATTTTGTTTTTACCACAGACATGGAACAGAATCAGGGGCGGACTGCCAACTCATGGGGCCCCAAGGCAATAGGGGATCATGGGGCCCCTGTGTCCTTGCCCAAACTCAAAAAAGCCTATGAAAAAGGTACCAGGGGCATCTCATGGGGCCCCCTGACTGACCCCGGGCCCTCAATAGGGGATCATGGGGCCCCTGTGTCCTTGCCCAAACTCAAAAAAGCCTATGAAAAAGGTACCAGGGGCATCTCATGGGGCCCCCTACTGACCCCGGGCCCTCAGGCAGTGCCCGAGTTTCCAAATGGTCAGTCCGTCCCTGAACAGAATATATTTTGCCTGAAATTTTATGAAGAAATTAAATGTTTCAAATTGAAAATGTTTTATAGCAGAAAGTAAAAAAGTAGTTGTTTATTTTTTCAAAATTTTTTTTTTTTTTTTTTTTTGCACTATAAAAAAAAAAAAGACCATCAGTCATCAAATACCACCAAATGAAAGCTCTATTTGTGTGAAAAAGATGATCTAAATTTCATTTGGGTACAGTGTTGCATAACTGAGCAATTACCAGTTAATGTAGGGCAGAGCTGAACAGTAAAAAATGCTCTGGCCATGAAGCGGGTAAAACCTTCTGGAGCTCATGGTTAAAGAGCTTCTGCCCCGTACTCGCCACTTATTAGCAGGAATAAGAGATTTAACCCCATCCTGGCTTTACCCTCCACAGGGGTGTTCAGAGATTGGCCTGGCACATGGTATAACATCTCTGGACCTGTAAAGCACCTTGCAGCTAACTGCTGCGCAATGCACCATGTGCCAAGGGGAGCCTCCATTGCAGGATTCGGTACAAAGCAACATTACAGGGTAGCCCCACATCTCCTACCAGGCAGAGTCAGGGTACAGTGTCCCAAGACTCTGCCGTGGAGCCCACCAATTGAGAAGCTGCATTAAAAAGCCACAGTGTCTATAGTGCAGCCATGTGATGAAGGAATCAGCATTGAAGAAATGAAACCATCTAGGAGTAGGAACATTTTTATTTCAACTATGCTCAACCTGTCAACTTATGAGCCAAAGGGGGCCTCTAATGCAGCCCCTAACATCACCAAAGGGCTGTACACACACATAACAAAAAACTGTCACTCCCAGGGGCGGACTGACAACTCATGGGGCCCCCGGGCAATAGGGGATCATGGGTCCCGTGTCCTTGCCCACACTCAAAAAAGCTTATGAAAAAGGTACCAGGGGCATCTCATGGGGCCCCCTACTGACCCGGGCCTTGGGCAGTGCCCGAATGGTTAGTCTGCCCCTGGTCACTCCTAGTGCTCAGGATACTGCCACTGCCAGAAAGGCCAAACATAGATATCCATAGACTCCACTGGAAATGCCTAGCTGGTTCTGCCCCCCTAACATGGGGGAATCCCTTAGTGACTGCAAAAAGAAAAAACAGGATGGCGCAAACACCTAGTGCATTACCAGTGATTTATTAAGAAAAAAAAAATCCAATAAACGCAAAGTGAATACTCATGGAAGGAGGAAGAAATGACGCGTTTACCCACATGTTCAAGAATTACTGTGTCCCCCAGTGGACAAGAGAGAAATTATTTTTGATTCTTTTTGAATATGTGCAAAGCAATAAAAATACCTTGGATTCAAGGACACTGAAGACAATGTCATCCGGCAGCGAGTCATCCGTTAAGGCCAGCGACCAGGACTTTTCAGACAGAATGTCCGAAGTCAGGGACAAGCCCTCCATCTCTGCCAGTGGGATCTAAACATGGAAAAATAATTGTGTATCAGGAAAGAGAACAGGCACAACAAAAAGTAAATCCCAATTCAGAAAGTTTATTCATTCTGATGGAGTAATGAAGGGTTAGGGTCTTTTCACATCTCTTTGAGGACAAAAACACATCTTCGTGGTTTACAACGTATGACACCATTCTAACCGCTGACTGTGCCGACCTGTCCCAGTGACACTGCACAATTTCCTGTAGGGGAAATCTCTCCAGTGGGGTCACAGACAGCCGTAAAAACCTGACAAAAATTTTAACTCATCTCTTTTTTAAAAAATAGCAAGCATCAGGCTTTACATGGAATATATCATCGTTTTGTATATACTATATTTTATTTCTTTATTATGCTATAATGACGAAACAATGCAGTGTTAGGCCCCCATGTACACGGGACACTTCTGAACGATGGAAACTGACTGCTGGAAAACATAGGTTAAAAAACGTCGTTTAGCCTGCGTTTGCATAACGTGTTTATGCGCGTTTGCGTTTAGAAGTGTTTTTTAAATATAAGCACAGTAGAAACTCCAAAATGCCCAGAATGCACTGAAAAGTGGTAAATTATTAACTATTTCAGACTGTTTCAGAGAAATACAGAGAGTAGAAGCAGAGACAGCAGTATGTGTTGAGATTAGCTTAGGTATGAGTTGCTCATTAACATTTCTTTTGTTCCCAAGGGTGGGAGAGGTCTGAGGTGTGAATGGTCATTAACATATCTTTTGTTTCCAAGGGTGGGAGAGGTCTGAGGTGTGACTGGTCATTAACATATCTTTTGTTTCCAAGGGTGGGAGAGGTCTGAGGTGTAAATGGTCATTAACATATCTTTTGTTTCCAAGGGTGGGAGAGGTCTGAGGTGTGAATGGTCATTACAATGTGTGACAAGCTTGGTAGGAACATCCTGTTTTTCAGGGTTTTGTCCATCTGAGTACATTGAAAATGTTTTACATGCATTTTTCATGATCAACAAAGGCTCTGGACAGCATCAGGAACTGGAAGAGTTAAAAAAAAAATTCAGTCACAAACGCTTATAAACGCGATTTGCTGCGTTTACAAGCGTTTTGCGTTTGAAACGCTGATAAAATTGACTGCTGAACACAAGTTTTCTGCGTTCAAAAAAATGACTGTAAACTCAAATGCCTGTAAATGACTGTAAATGAAGATGTGTACATGGACACATAGGAAAACATTAGGGAGAGTTCAGGGGCTGCTGAAAAAAAAGCTGAACAGCTCCTGAACGTGAGTTTATCAGCTGCAATGTACATGAGCCCTTAAATTAAAGATAAGGTTAGTGTTTGCAGCTGCAAAGGTTCACTTTAAGTACCACCCTAGCATTTACTATGCATAAAAAGTAGCAGTCCCCACCACAAGGACCGGCCTCGCAGAAGACAACTCCTCCACAGACAATGGGGGAGGGGGGGTGTAGCGGTATTGAAATACATTTGGACCCTAAATAATTGCATTAAACACCTACTACCCTGCCAGCATTTGTAGTGGTCTGTGACACAAAGTCATTCATGCTCAGGTGGGAATTAAAGCCTGCTTAACAGCATTAATGGAACATCGGGGTGCCAGCTGTGAATGTCTTTCTGTAGGGGTTCCACATGGAAATCTGCAGTCTTACACTACTTTTAATCCATGGCTGCCAATACAAAATTCCCTTTATTGGTAAATGTTGACTTTGTCAGTATTGCACATTGTTTCCATGAGTGGCCCCGGCAGTGCTCACCTGTCTGGCAGTCCTGGCTTGGGTGAAGGGGAGCAGCAGAATGCCTGTTCCAATAGAGGGCACATAGTGACTCAAGCAGCAGAGTACAAAGGGTCCATGCCGGGTAGGTGGTGCATTGGCAAGGCAGTGAGGTTCAGCCTTTTGAGCCCCGCTGGACTGCCCCTGCTGCTGCCCCAGAAACCGTACAGAATGGAGGAGGGACTTGAATATGGTGGCTAACATGGTGAGATCCTGACGACACTGAATTAGTGCCACCAACCCTACAAGAGGCACAGCCCAGGCAGCTACATGAGCAGCTTCACATACAAATCAAACCTTGCCCGCCACCCACCCCCATCACCGCGCAGCCTGGCCCCCAACTGGTCTGGGGATCTCTGATATAAAGGACTTACTTGATTTTCAGATGAACCTTTTTCATATGGAGGAAGGGCATAATGATGGCACACTGAACCAGACAGGTTATCCATAAGCCTCATCTCCCCCTCTATGGATCCTTGGATTAGTAATGATATTGTATCAAACATATGTCTTTCCTGCGCAAGAAGTTACAAGTGTGTTAGGAAAAGGAAAAAAGTATTGAGGGCAGAGATGAATTTCATAATAAAAAAAAAAAAAGAATAGCCTAACCCCTAAATTTCCAAAGCTTTTTTCCTCCCTATACTTCCCTCCCAGAGCCTTTTCCACCCTATATTCCCCTTGATTCCCACAACCTTTTCCTCCATATGCCCCCTCTTAGAGCCTTTTTTAGACCCCCTTTTGACTCCCCAAAGTTTTCCTCCCTATATGATCTCACTTTAAGTCCCAGAACCTTTTCCCTCCATATGCCCCCCCCCCCAGTCCTTTTTTTTCCTATACCCCCTTTTATTCCCCAAGAATTTTCTTCCCTAAACCCTCCTTGAGTCCCACAGACTTTAGCTTTTTGTTTTTATATATATTTTAGCTCCACAACCACCTCTTAGATTTTGCAGGGTACTATAACCAAATTATACATGTTTTTTTTTTTTTAGGGGACGGACATGGCTTTCACTTTGCAGATGATTTGGCTACATATATATTTTATTTCCTAGGTTTTATTTGGGAAAATATATAACTTTCATGTTCAGTCACATACACTCCTCTTCACTTGACAATCCCAACTACTATATTTTTTCTGAACAAAACTTGTGTTTTCTTACCATGGGATGAACTAATGACAGCTGGGAATCCACCTTATCCTTCACAGAGTTCATATATCCATAGGGATTATCCTGAGTGTAGCTAAGGTCCCGTCCAGCCCACAGGAAAGAGTCGCTGTCTGGACCTTGCATGTTCTGAATCTGAAATTCCAGCTCCATCTCTGCCTCCAGCTCTGCCTCCTCCTTGGCTTCTTTATTGCTCTCCTCTAAATGCTTCATCAAAACAGCAATGACCACATTGACCAAAACGAACTGTGCAGTTAGCACAAAGGAGACAAAGTAGATGGGGGAGATGACTGTATTGTAGCAGGTTGATTCCTCGTTACAGTCACGCAGTGTGTCCTAATATCAGATAAAAAAGGTATGAGGAGAGTTGATATTCATTGCTAGTTTTGTACAGCTAGTAATAAATCCACCGGACCAATTAAAAACAAACCAATCAATATAGCTTGCCTTGAAGTACGGGCTCTCTTAAGCCGGCCATAGATGGAACAGAATTTGGCCAGCTTCTGTTAAACCGACCAAATTTTAATCCATCTATGGGCAGGCTGATTGTACTGAAGTTGATCCATTGTCGCCATGTTGTACCTTCAAAAGAAGTCTTGGAAATATCTAGTGCTTCCGGGGATGAGGACCATGTGACCTTCTCACCTTCCTCCCAGGATGCAGAGCCGGGGCTTGAGTGGCCAATAACCAGGCCCAAACACTGCCATGTGCAGGAAGGGAGCAAACGGAATAATCTTGTGTAGGCCAACACTGTCTGGCGCAGAGCTTCCATAAGGTTTAAACCTATGGCTCCAACGTATGAATAGAGCAGTTGGGTAGGGTGAACAAAGAAAAGTATTATTGGGTGGAATTGGGGGAAGTGTCAAGAACACACAGATTCATATTTAGTAATTAAAGGCCACCTCCATCCAAAATGGGTATCTTGAGCTGCAGATAGTCATTAGAGGACTTTTGGCTCTCGGACTTAAGCAGGCCATACACTGATCAAAATTTTGACCAGTGTGTGTGGGCTTCCCTGCTGGATATAAGTCAACTGTTAAAGGGACATGTTAGAATATTTTCCATCAGTGTATTCAGATGGAGTCTGGTGCCACTGTCAGAATACAGTGTTCCCGCAAGAGGGATTCCTCCGTCCACCTCGTCAAAGCTTCTTATTGGCATACTTGTTCTAAGTCAATGATGAGTTAAAATCCAACAAGTATGTTTCTTACATTTCCACACATAATTTAAATGGTTTTTTACCTTCATAATGCCATTCCAGTTATCACCTGTAGATACTCGGAAGAGAGTTAAAAAGGCCATTCCAAAATTTCTAAAGGTGGCATGTCTCCCAAGACCTTCACATGGATGGGAATCGTTGCACTCTGTAAACAGACACAAATCTAATATAGAAACATACTCTTGGCATGATGTCTGCTTGTTCTTTAATCTTGTGCATTATTTTCAATACCTACCCAAATCACCAAAGAGTTCCACTCCCAAAGCTGCAAAAATGAAGAAGAGCAGCATGAAGAGGAGGCCTAGGTTCCCCACCTGTGGGCAGGAGGACATGGTTTATAAGAATCTCTATTTATAAGATCTGGTTAATAAGATTAGCAGCCAAAACGTAATGCCAAGTGGCAGTTGCCAAAGAAAATGCAATCTTATATAATATGGAGGAAAAACACCTGATGGTAATACACTGTTTTTCATAAATCACATTTAGAATGTCAGGTCAAATTTGGGTACCCCATTGTATCCTGTCCTCAGTCTCTGACCATCTCTTGTGTTATGTCCTCAGTCTCTGACCATCTCTTGTATTATGTCCTGAGTCTCTGACCATTTCTTGTTTCCTGCCCTGAATCTCTGACCATCTCCTTTTTGTATGTCTTCAGTCTCTGACCATTTCTTGTATCCTGTCCTCAATCTCTGGCCATCTCCTTTTTTTATGCCCTAGTCTCTGACCATCTTTTGTATCCTGTCCTCACTCTCTGACCATCTTCTTTTTGTATGTCTTCAGTCTCTGACCATTTCTTGTATCCTGTCCTCACTCTCTGACCATCTCCTTTTTTTATACCCTCAGTCTCTGACCATCTCTTGTATTATGTCCTCAGTCTTTGACCATCTCTTGTATTATGTCCTCAGTCTTTGACCATCTCTTGTATTATGTCCTCAGTCTCTGACCATTTCTTGTATCCTGTCCTCACTCTCTGACCATCTCCTTTTTTATATATTTATAATATCCTATTTATAAGGTCTGGTTAATAAGATTAGCAGCCAAAACGTAATGCCAAGTGGCAGTTGCCAAAGAAAGTGCAATCTTATATAATATGGAGGAAAAACACCTGATGGTAATACATTGTTTTTCATAAATCACATTTAGAATGTCAGGTCAAATTTGGGTACCCCATTGTATCCTGTCCTCAGTCTCTGACCATCTCTTGTGTTATGTCCTCAGTCTCTGACCATCTCTTGTATTATGTCCTGAGTCTCTGTCCATTTCTTGTATCCTGTTCTGAATCTCTGACCATCTCCTTTTTTTATACCCTCAGTCTCTTCCCATCTCTTGTATCCTGTCCTCACTCTCTCTAACCATCTCCTTTTTTTATGCCCTCAGTCTCTGACCATCTTTTGTATCCTGTCCTCACTCTCTGACCATCTCCTTTTTGTATGTCTTTTTCAGTCTCTGCCCATTTCTTGTATCCTGTCCTACTCTCTGACCATCTCCTTTTTGTATGTCTTCAGTCTCTGACCATTTTTGTATCCTGTCCTTACTCTCTCTGACCATCTCCTTTTTTTATGTCCTCAGTTTCTGACCATTTTTGTATCCTGTCCTCACTCTCTGACCATCTCCTTTTTGTATGTCTTCAGTATCTGACCATTTCTTGTATCCTGTCCTCACTCTCTGACCATCTCCTTTTTTTATGCCCTCAGTCTCTGACCATCTCTTGTATTATGTCCTCAGTCTTTGACCATCTCTTGTATTATGTCCTCAGTCTTTGACCATCTCTTGTATTATGTCCTCAGTCTCTGACCATTTCTTGTATCCTGTCCTCACTCTCTGACCATCTCCTTTTTGATATCCGCATTCTTTGACCATCTCTTGTATTATGTCACTAGACCACCTCTTGTATCATGAATTTTATGTGTAGCCCTTTGCTGATGTTGAGGGCTGCACTTGAAGCCCCCCATATCAAGAAAGTTGACCACCACTGATCTAGGGATTTGATCCATTTTCTTTTATGGAGGAGTCATGAATAAACTAATGTCCATTAAGGTTGTCCTCTCGCAATTCCATCAGCTTTATAAAGAGGAAGGAAAAACAAAACCTCTGGACAACCAGTGCTAATTGTGCCACATCCAAGGGAAACAAAATATTTTCCATTCTTATTAGCTATGTAATATATCAAGAATATATTTTGAGAAATGATGCATTAAACGTGAACTCCAAGCAAGCAAGTAAAAAAGCCACTGAAATGCATACAGTTCATGTATGGAAGCATGTGTACTTCTGTTCATACAGTCCTGAGATATACACAGACCTGACACATAGCACAGACCTGTCTGCAGACCAACTGGCATCTGGAGCGATCATACTAATTACCCACCAGGATCCCTCCAATTTTTTTAAATCCAGTACACACTTCGTTCAGCAGTACCAGGTCCTGATGAAAGGGGACCTTTTGAAGACTCAAAACATGTTGGCGTTTTATGATACGAGTCTGGATAAATTAAAATTTTGACTTCAAACATTTTTCTGTCATTGTTTTCCTCCCCGCACGCAGTCTGCAGACCTGACTCTTTCCTACTGCAGTTAGGCAACACAGTTAGCTCACCTCTTTGATCCAGCCTGTGAATGGACAGTGAGGGGAGCAGCAAAAACAAAAGCAGTAATCTTTCTGCTCTCTTCTCCTGTCAGCGTGTTTCTTGTCAGCACATGTGAATGAAACAAAACTGATTTGCCCCAACTGCTACCTCTCTATCTTAGTAAGGGAAGTCTGTTGCGAAAATTGGAATATTTGATATTATTATAGTGCAAACAACAATGCTGTCATTGCATATCAGCAAATCACAGGCCAGCTTTTGCTAAACTGATGGCAGAATGGCTTTTTTCAGCTGGAACGTGGGGAAACCTGATGTATGTAATCGCAAGGGGTGTGCTGGAGGATGTATTGATGCTGATTGCTGGGGGATCTATTGTCACTGGCGGGGATCAGTTTTTTGTGTGAGGGTCTATTGTTTCTGCTGTGGGATCTATTGTTGCTGGGGGTCTTATGTTGCTGGTAGGGATCCACTGTTGAGGGAGAGTTTGCAGGCTGCTGGAAGATCTGTTTTTGCTGCTGGGGGAAATCTAATGATACTGTAGTAGATCTTTTGTTGCTAAGGGTGACTTTTTGTTGTGAGTGGTCCATTTGTGTTGTGTAGGGGATCTGTTGTTGCTGGAGTGGGGTATATTGTTACTGAGGGGACCTATTGTTGCTGGGGTGGGGTCCAATTGTTGCTGGGGGAGTCTATTGTTGTGTGGGGGATCTTTTGTTGCTGGGGTGGGGTCTATTATTGCTAAAGGGATCTATTGTTTCTGGCTGCAGAGGATCTATTTTACTGCTTTTCTTGCTACCAATAACAAATTCCATACAAAATATTTTGCACCACAAAATTATACTTGGTTCTGTATTCTCTAAAAGGGGCGGGACTAGGAAGGTGGGTAGGGGATGGAACCAAGGGATGGTGCTCAGAGGAGGGTAGGGGGCAAAGACAAAGGAGGACTCAGAAAGGGGGAGTTCCTGCACCTACTTTGTAAGAAAAAAGCAATATATTTGCACCATGATATAAAGTCTGGATCCAAGACCAAATGCTAATCACCCTGTGGAATGCATGGGATACCTCTGGTGCTGGGACAAGACAAAGCACTCTCAGTGCTAACTGATATTCCTATCCAAAGTTCTCCATGCCATTGATCACTTTGAGTGCAAACAAGGGTGGACTGACAACTCATGGGGCCCCTATGTCCTCACCCACACTCAGACCACACCCAAAAAAGCCTATGAAAGGTACCAGGGGCATCTCATGGGGCCTCCTACTGACCCCGGGCCCTCAGGTAGTGCCCGAGTTCCCAAATGGTCAGTCCGCCCCTTGCATTCTCATTTTTCCATTTCAACTGAGTTAGATGCTTTGTTATTCAGAAGCTGATGCTTTTCCACGATATTTACCTGAGGAAGAGCCTGCAGAACGGTATCCAGCAAAGCCCTCATTCCAACAGCCATCTTCAGCAGCTTTAGGACTGAAAGATAAAAGTCAGCACAATAAGTATCCAGCATCCAAAATACGCTGTTTGTGGACACCCGACCATCACACTTGCTGTAGTTGAGCTTGATGGACATTGCATTCTACATTTATGACCATTAGGAAGGAGGTGGCCATGCCTATAAGTTATGGCCACTTACCAATTCTGAAGCTGCTCCGGTCAGGTTCCAGGATCTGCTGTCAGCAGCGACTTCTCTGTAGAGGAGCGGCAACCGACAATGGCTATGGGTGACGTCATCTCCCAGGCATTTCCAGCCATTGGATTTCTCTCCTGCACACTGACCGGACCGGAGTGGCTTCAGAATAGGCAACTATACAGATCTTTTCTTTACAGGGTTAGATCGAATAGGCTTCGAATGGGGGGGGGGAAGTGGGTTCCACATTAGATTTTGACTGGAATTTCACTTTAACCCCCAACCTTAACCTTTTAGATGTTATCTGTTCCCAAGACAATGATGCCAAATCCTCACCATCCTGAGCCAAATGCAACAATGCATAATCCGAAGTACCTAATTATTTACTGAATGACATAACTTATCATAGCTTGCAATGCATCCAGAAGGTACTAGGCCTCTAGAGCAGCAGTATGTGGCTATAATTGCACCCTCACGTCTACTTAAAATATAGCAAAATACCTCTAGCAATTCTGAGAACCCTCATGATCCGAATAATGGTGGGGTTTATTGGTAGTGAGGCATTTACTTCAATCTCTTCCAATGTGATCCCCATAATGGAAAGAAGGACAATTGCCAAGTCTAACTGATTCCATCTGTAAAAGACAAATGTTGAATATGGAAGAAAAACTGGTTCATGAAATTTTAATACATTTTTGTAAACAATTCTCTTTCCTGGTAATTTTTTTAAAATTCTGTAAATAAAGTAGGGAATAGTTTCCTGTATTTCCTGTTCCATAGATACAATAAGAAGTATAAATAAATCTCCCTAAAATAGGGGAAAACCCCTCCTAGTCGGTTGTCACTGCAACAGGGGAAATTTTGGATTTCACATAATTTTTTGTGCTGGTGACAATGGCCAACGGCACTAATAGAGTGAATCTAGGGCCGTCTTAATGCATGGGCACACTGAGCACTGTCCAAGGGCCCCAGGTGCATGGGGGCCCCATGATCAGGGCCGAACAAGGGGGGAGGCATGGGTGTTGTGTGGGGCACTGGCAACTTGGCTGCTTGTGCTGCTCCTCTTTGACAGGAGTAACTACAACGTCATTCCTGTCAGAAAATACAGCGGCTAGCTTCTGTCGGAGAGACAATTCAGCTTTCTACTCCTCTGTGCAGGGGGCGGAAGACAGCCGGCACTGAAACTGGGAACTCTCCTCAGTCTCAGTGTGGGAGAGGAGGGAGAAGCTACCTTCATTACAGGTGGGAGCAGAATTTGTGATCTGTGAGTACAAGGGGGAAGGGGGCCACAATTCTGATGTAAGCGGAACTGTGATAGGGGAACCTAAAGGATGGGGACACTTGATATATTGGGACCCTTTAATGGGGACACAGGGATGGGGGCACTGTGATGGGGAAACCTATTAGATGGGGACACCTGATGTATAGGGACACTGTGATGGGAACACCTAATATATAGAGACACTGTGATGGGGAAACCTGATGTATGGGGACACCTGGCATATAGGAACACTGTGATGGAGAAACCTGATGTAAGGTGACGACGTGATGGGGACACCTGATGGATGGGGACACTGTGACGGAGACACCTGATGTATGTGGCCCTTTACAAAATAATCTAGAGTGGGTGACTGGGGACAAAGAGAAGGCAAATTTATTAAATACCTTCTTCAGCTCTGTGTATACAAAGGAGCAAGCTGGAGCTCTTGTCCATAATGGTCATGGTATTGGCACAGCTCCAGATGATCCACATTGGCTCACAACTGATATGATCCAGAAATATTTAAACAGAATAAAGGTGAATGAAGCACCTGGACCGGATGGCATACACCCACGGGCCCTTAAAGAACTGAGCTCTGTTAATTCAAAGCCATTGTTGCTAATTTTTAGGGAATCTTTAATGACTGGCATAGTACCACTGGATTGGCGTAAGGGATCAAAATCTTTACCAAGTAATTATAGACCTGTTAGTGTAACTTCTATAGTTGGGAAGATACTGGAAAGTTTAATAAAAGACCACATAGATAAGATCTTGCTGTAAAAAAATATTTTAAGCAACAGACAGTATGGATTAATGAAAGACAGAAGTTGTCAAACAAATCTGATTTCTTTTTATGAGGAGCTGAGCAAAACCTTGGACAGAGGGATGACGGTGGATGTGGTATACTTGGACAGGGGGGTGGCGGTGGACGTGGTATACTTGGACAGGGGGGTGGCGGTGGACATGGTATACTTGGACAGAGGGGTGGCGGTGGACATGGTATACTTGGACAGAGGGGTGGCGGTGGACGTGGTATACTTGGACAGAGGGGGGTGGCGGTGGACGTGGTATACTTGGACAGAGGGGTGGCGGTGGACGTGGTATACTTGGACAGAGGGGTGGCGGTGGACGTGGAATACTTGGATAGAGGGGTGGTGGTGGACGTGGTATACTTGGATTTTGCAAAAGCGTTTGAGACACAGTTCCCCACACACAGCTAATGTGTAAGGTAAAGTATACAGGCTTGGAAAAATCCATATGTAAATAGATAGAAAACTGGCTAAAAGATGGTATTCAGAGAGTAGTGGTTAATGATTCATACTCTGAATGGTCTAGGGTCATCAAGGTTCAGTGTTGGGACCCGTACTTTTTAATATATTTATGAACAATATGGGGTCTGGGATTAAAAAATCCCATTTCAGTCTTTGCAGATGACACCAAGCTGTGCCGGGGAATAACTTCCTTACAGGATGTCTCCAACTTACAAGCCGACCTCAATGCACTGTTTAATTGGGCAACTATGTGGTAAATGAGGTTTAATGTTGATAAATGTAAAGTTCTGCACTTGGGGGCTAAGAATATGCATGCATCATACATACTAGGGGGGTACAACTGGGGGAATCAATGGTGGAGAAGGATCTGGGAGTTCTGGTAGATCATAAACTGGCATGCAATGCCAAGCTGCGGTTTCTAAAATATTGTATTAAAAGAGGCAGAGACTCCAGAAAGGGAGAGATGATATTTCTCCCAGTACAAATCATTAGTAATACCTCATCTGGAATATGCAGTTCAATTTTGGGCACCAAATCAAAAAAAGAACATTGGGGAACTGGAGAAAGAACAGAGAAGGGCAACCCAAACTGATAAGAGGCATGGAGGAGCTCAGCTATGAGGAAAGATTAGAGGAACTGAATTTATTCTCTCTTGAGAAGAGGAGATTAAGGGGGGATATGACCTCCATGTATAATACATAAGGGGGGATATGATCGCCATGTATAATACATAAGGGGGGAAATGATCTCCATGTATAATACATAAGGGGGGATATGATCGCCATGTATAATACATAAGGGGGATATGATCACCATGTATAATACATAAGGGGGGATATGATCGCCATGTATAATACATAAGGGGGGATATGATCACCATGTATAATACATAAGGGGGGATATGATCTCCGTGTATAATACATAAGGGGGGGATATGATCTCCATGTATAATACATAAGGGGGGGATATGATCACCATGTATAATACATAAGGGGGGATATGATCACCATGTATAATACATAAGGGGGGATATGATCTCCATGTATAATACATAAGGGGGGGATATGATCACCATGTATAATACATAAGGGGGATATGATCTCCATGTATAATACATAAGGGGATATGATATGATCTCCATGTATAATACATAAGGGGGGATATGATCACCATGTATAATACATAAGGGGGGATATGATCTCCATGTATAATACATAAGGGGGGATATGATCTCCATGTATAATACATAAGAGGGAATATGATCTCCATGTATAATACATAAGGGGGGATATGATCTCCATGTATAATACATAAGGGGGATATGATCTCCATGTATGATACATAAGGGGGGATATGATCTCCATGTATAATACATAAGGGGGGATATGATCTCCATGTATAAATACATCAGTGGTTTAGGTGAACTCTGTGTAGAGTTATTCCCCCTGAGGTCATCACAGAGGACAAGGGATTCTTCACAGTAAGAGCTGTGAAAATGTGGAGTAGACTCCCTCCAGAGTTGGTTCTGGCCAGCTCAGTGGATTTCTTTAAAAAAGTCCTGGATGCTTTCTTGGATACACAGAATATAACTGGATATAACATTTATAGGTAAAGTTGATTCAGGGAATATCGGATTGCCTCTCGGGGGATCAGGAAGGAATTCTGTCCCCTGCAGGAGCAAATTGAATCATGCTTTGCTGGGTTTTTTGCCTTCCTCTGGATCAACTGTGGGTGTAGGATTATAACTTTTTTTTTTAATGGTTGAACTGGATGAACTTTTCTCTTTTTTCAGCCAGACTAACTATGTAACTATGTGGGCACTGTAATGAGGATACCTGATGTATGGAGACACTGTGATGGAGACACCTGATGTATTGGGACACTGTGATGGGGACACCTGATGTATGGGGGCACTGTGATGGGATGTACGTGGACACTGCGATGGGACACCTGATGTATTGGGACACTGTGATGGGGACACCTGATGTATGGGGGCACTGTGATGGGATGTACGTGGGCACTGTGATGGGGACACTGTGATGGGACACCTGATGTATTGGGACACTGTGATGGAGACACCTGGTGTATGCGACAACTGTGATTGGGACACCTGATGCAGGCTGGTAGGGTCCCAGGACATTATTTTGCCCAAGTGCCCATGATGCTATTAGAATGACACTGAATGAATCTCACTCATTGGAATATCTTCCAGTTCTGGTGACAACTCAAAATGTTGGATTATCTGCCATGTTCCGTCCCCCACACACAGAAAGGGAAAATCTCTCAGGCAGGGATACAACAAAAAAAATAAAGGAAATAATAATACAGTTACAATTGAATGGGGAGCCTGAAATAGCAGATAACAGCGTGCTTGTAGTACTATCAACATGGAAGAGTAATTACATACAGTTAGGTAAGCTATAGAATTCAGAATCAAAAGTAAATTGTCGCCATTAGAAGAGTAAAAGTCTTACTATTTCCTTTATTGCTTTTTTTCTTTGTAAAAGTAAAAAAGAAATGCAGTAATAAAAAAATTTAAATATGTTGTGACCTTTCCAACCTGATCCAAAAATATTTTGCCCTTACATACACTTTTGATGGTTATCTCAAGGGAAGGGGGTGGCTGCAATAGGAGCCATCAGTGATGAGTCAAATAGATGGCTCACTCTCTATTCACTGCTGCCAGATCCTCTAGTCACATGGACAGGAATCCATCTTCATAGTAAACACCGGCTACAAATCCTGGAAACTACACAACTTGCAGCCAACGTCGCTATTATGTCCAACTCCAGCCAAATGTTTTTGTTATCTTTGAATACAGTGGGGGAGTATTAAACACTTTGACCTTTTTTTACTGCTTATTATTTTTCAAGTGGTTAGAAGCCACAATTCATTTTATCTAGCTATACTTTTTTATGTGGAAGTAGACTGGCAGTTCTTTCTTCCTTCTTTCCTTTTTTTTGGGGGACTTTTGTGGATGGTCCTTAGGTAAACATGGCTACAGCATAAAGCATTGAAGCCCCAATCCACTCCAGAATAACAATCGCCAAAGGAAAGGCAACTCATTTCAGGAATTGCAAAGGTCCCCACTGAATTTATAGGAGATATATACCTCCAACGTGATTGTACCCTGAAGAAGAGGGAGCCTTTGCCGTCCCAGAAAAACATTAGCTTTCCCTTGGCAATTACAAATAAAATCTTATTCTGGATTTTTACAAGTGAAATTGTACATCTAAGTTTTTTATTGCTGTGTTCTTAGTGAGGTGATTATCCTTCACTTCATGATTGGTCACCAGGACAGGAAGTGAGGGACATTTCTTAGCGGATAAATCCACAAAAAAAGTTAAGAATTTTAAAAGGTGGTTGGTATTTCATGGTATTTCAGAAAAACTGAATGCTTAAAACCAACACCTATGATATGATGCCAGATATATGGCTATCCCAATTTACACCCATAGAGTGTTGATAAATAGTCCACAAAGTCAAATCCCAGCATGTTTTGACCAGATGGGCTTCTTCAGGGGATGATTGGGATTATATCTGATAATTCCAGCAATATCCAAAAATATACAACTCCTCTCTAAATAGGATTTGGCATGTAGCTGAGGCAGCTGTAGCCACTTTCCACTCATCTGCTTTACTCCTTGGAAGTATTGCAAAGCATTCTGTTGCAGATTACAAATCTATAAGGGATTCCACTCCACAGAATGATCAAACCCTAGATAGCATTGGACTATTTTCCTGTGGTATATGGTCTCACTCAGCATAAAATCAATTGTAGCATGGTCCAAGCAGCAGATCATTATTTAACACCTCTCTTATTTACACTTCAATTTGTATCTCATAATTAATAATCATGAAATTAAAATAATAATAATACTCATCATCATAATGAGAAGGGCCCCCTACATTGGTGGTCAGGTGGAGAAGGGCTCCCTGTATTGGTGAATAGGTGGAGAAGGGCCTCCTACTTTGGTGGTCAGAGGGGGAAAAGCCTTCTACATTGGTGGTCAGAGAGAGAAGAGCCCCCTATATTGGTGAACAGGTAGAGAAAGGCCTCCTACATTGGTGGTAAGGTGGACAAGGGCCCTACATTGGTGGTCAGGTGGAGAAGGTCCTCTACATTGGTGGTCAGGTGGGGAAGGGCTCCTTGTGTTGGTGGTCAGATGGGGAAGGGCTCCTTGTATTGGTGAATAGGTGGAGAAGGGCCTCCTACTTTGGTGGTCAGAGGGGGAAAATCCTCCTACATTGGTGGTTAGAGAGAGAAGGGCCTCCTACATTAGTGGTAAGGTGAAGAAGGGCCCCTACACTGGTGGCCAGTTAAAGAAGGATCTCCAAACCTTGGAGGTCAGTAGAAAACATTCCCCTTTGATTGGGTGTTAGTGGGAGAATGGATTCTGTGAATTGGTGGCCAGTGGAGACGAGCCTTCTTACATGTAGTGATCAAATCAATGTAGGAAGGAGATCAAACTACTTACGACTGTCAGAAAGGCATCTAGATATTATACTCTCATTTCTTTATTCTTTCTCTATATTTATTTTTCCCTTATGTCTTTCTAATTGCCTTCATCTTTGTCTTGACACTGCTCAGTCCCCACAAATAATTATCAAAAGTACAAAGTGCACCAAAATAATAGTGTAAACTGCTGCCACATTTTGTGGCTTCTTCAGGCAATAAAGTGCATTGTGTCAAATTGTGGCAAATTGTCAGCTGGCGCTACACATGCAACACAAATACATTCGTTCCTAACCCCTCTAGATATTACTACTCTGCATTTCTTCATCACAGACTCTCCCCGCTTCAGTCTATCTGAACTATATCCACCTTTTATCCGCCACCCCCCTCTGTCATTTTGGCTTCCCTTATTTTCATTGATTCAGTTGCAAGAAAAATTGCCTTCAGTTTTGCATGAATTGGGCATAAAATGTCTTGCTCTGAACGTCCTAAGTCACAACAATAGAAGAACACAGTCTGCTGAACATAATACTACACAAACATTAGTTGCTATGGTTTAATTGCACATAACATGTAAACATTCACAGTGCAGGGAGGAAAAAGTATGTGAACCTTTGACTTAATAACTGACCCTCCTTGCAGCAATAACCTCAACCATAAACGTTTCCTGTAGTTGCAGAACCTGCACAAAGATCTGGAGTAATTTTGGACCACTCCTCTTCACAAAACTGTTTCAGTGTACCAATATTCTTGGGGTGTAAACTGTGTGAATCGCTCTCTTAAGGTCATGCCACAGCATTTCAATCGGGTTGAGTGTCAGGACTCTGACTGGGCCACTAAAGTGCATTCTTTAGCCATTGTTTTGTTGAATTACACTTTGGGTCATTGTCCTGTTGCAAATTCCTTGCGGAGCTTCAGTTGGCGGACAGATGGTCGTACGTTTTCCTGCAAAATGTCTTGATAAACTCTGGAATTCATTTTCCCATCAAACAACAATCCGTCCAGCCCTGAGGCACAAAGCAGCCCCAAACCATGATGCTCCCTCCACCATGTTTTACAGTGGGGATGAGGTTTTGATGTTGGTGTGCTGTGCCTTTTTTTCTCCACACATAGTGTTGTGCGTTCTTCCCAACACAAACTCAATCTTGGTTCATCTGTCCACAGTAATTTTGCCCCAGTGCTCTTTTGCAAACTACGTGCTATTCTTTTTGGACAGCAATGGCTTCCTCCGTGGTGTCCTCCATGTCACTCCATTCTTGTTTAATGTTTTCCTTATTGTAGATGTGTCAACTCAGAGATTTCTGTAGGTCTTTAGCTGAACACTCTGGGATTCTTCTTTACCTCATGCAGCATTCTGCGCTCTTGCAGACATTTTTACAGGACGACCACGCCTAGCAACAGTGCTAAACTTTTTCTCCATTTGTAGACAGTCTGTCTTACCGTGGACACATGAACATACAAGGCTTTTGGAGATACTTTTTGTAACCCTTTCCAGCTTCTGCAAGTCAACAATTCTTGATCGTAGGTCTTCCTGAGTTCTTTTCTGCCAGTTCACATCAGACATGAAACCAGTAAACCCAAAACAGGTGTGTGTTTTTTAGGGCAACAGCTGTCGCAACACATCCAATATCATCACACGTATCACTCCTGGCTCCAATTAGCCCCATTCTAGGGCCTCATACTTTTTTCCTCCCTGCACTGTGAATGTTTCATGATGTGCAATTAAACCCAACGTATATTATGTTCAGCAGACTGTGTTCTTTTAAAGATGACGTTCAGAGCACATTTTATGCTCAATTCATGCAAAAATGTAATCCCAGGGGTTCACAACTTTTTCTTGCAACTGTACAAAGCTATTCATAACGCTGCCCCAAACTACCTCACCGACCTGATACCCAAATACCACCCAACCCGCACTCTCCGCTCCTCACAAGACCTCTTACTCTCCAGCTCCCTAGTCTCCTCCTCACATGCCTGACTCCAGGACTTCTCCAGGACTTCCTCCATCCTCTGGAACTCACTACCCCAATCCATCAGACTGTCACCTACCCTCCTCACCTTTAGGCGCACCCTGAAAACCCATCTCTTCAGGGAAGCCTACCCCACCCTCACCCAACTGCCGATCTCCTTCACACTCCTCCTACCACTCCATCCCCAACAGCCACTTCCTCCTGTACCACTACCCTCTGCCTCCTAGATTTCTAAGCTCCAAGGAGCAGGGCCCTTGAACCCCTCGTGTATTGTATTGTTACTGTATTGTCTCATGTACTGTCCCCCACTATAATGTACAGCGCTGAGCAAACTTTTTGGCACTATATAAATACTGTATAATAATAATAAGAATAATAATGATAATAACATAGAAGCATGCGATTATATTCTTTGCAGTTTTAGTAATCCTGTTGCTAATGGATTCTTGCAAGAAACAATATCGCTAGTGTGACACTGCCCTGAGGAACACTGACTACAAGTTGCTGGGTTTAATTACAAAGGAAAATTGTAATACTCTTTGGGGGTTATTTACTAAAACTGGAGGGTGCAAAATCTGGTTCAGCTCTGCACAGAAACCAATCAGCTTCCAGGTTTTATTTGTCAACGCTTAATTGAACAAGCTGAAGTTAGACGTTTATTGGCTACCATACACAGCTGTACCAGATTCTGAGTGCTCCAGTTTTAGTACATATCTCCCTTTCTGTTCAGTATCAGAAGCTGAAGATTGGCCAGGAAAAACGAAGAAGGCGATATTGTAAATCAAAGCACACTCAGGTGCCAGCGCAGGAACAAACACAATGAATGTACATATTCTTCTGTATCTTCTGATACAGATTTCCTGATGTTTTATTAATTATAGCTTCATTAACACAATATTTCTAACAAATAATTTAAAATGTATTCTTGCATACCTGTCTTTGAAAAAGCGGCGAAAACCAAACGCAATCATTTTGCACCCAGACTCCAGGACAAAAATCAGGGTGAAAATATAGTTACAGATCTTCAGAGCTTCATCTAGTACCTAAAAAATAAAAAATACATTGGCAAGTTTTTTATTTTGAATCACACAGGCAGATTTTGATTGATTGATTTCAGATTAATAAAATTTACCAACAGTTGTACGGTTTGGGCCTACCTGAAAAGATGCAATGAGAGTTATTTATTTATTTATTTTTGTGATTCGATCTTATAGAGGATTCACAGTTAGAAGTCAATTCAATAAAAAGCTAAAAAGAATACATGACAGAACAATCAATAAATGTTTCTGCTCTGTTAATAGTCATTCTGACTGACTGCGTTTTAACATGCTCCAAAAATTTTCAAACCTAAATCCAAACAATGAATAATATTAAAAATGGATTTCTTGCAGGTTGCTTCAGGATATATAATCATCAGAAATACAACATATTTGTTCTTAGTGTCAGAGATGCCAATAGTTTTTGGTCTAGGCCCCTTGCAGTGAAAAACAAATCAAAAGTCTGCTGCACCCCATGTTTAAAAGTTACATAGTTGTATAAGTAGTCTGGCTGAAAAAAAGACAAAAGTCCATCCAGTTCAACCACTACAAAAAAAAAAAGTTATAATCCTATACCCACAGTTGATCCAGAGGAAGGCAAAAAAAAAACCCCCAGCAAAGCATGATCCAATTCTTTCCTGATCCCCAGAGAGGCAATCGGATATTCCCTGGATCAACCTTACCTCTAAATGTTAGTATCCAGTTATATTCTGTGTATCTAGGAAACAATCAAGGACTTTTTGTAAAGCAAAAAAGTCACAAATAAAATGAAATGCAGTCCTGTATTGTTGCTTGCTGTTATCCCAGTGCAAATGACAGAAATGCGCACTAACCAGAAGCGCATTGATAATACGCAAGTGTGTCAATATCCTGAAGATTCCCCTCTCTTTCTGGTCAGAATGCAGGCCGGAACTGGAAAAATATAAGGATGAAGCGCCCTCTTGTGGTAGTGATGAGATCCGACGGGCCAGAAAAATCCTTGCAGAGATATATGGGATGAACGTTCCTCCTCTCTGGAGCTGGTATTAGGATCACACGCCCATATAGGATCACACTCCCATATATCTCTGCAAGGATTTTTTTTCTGGCCTGTCGGATCTCATCACTACCACAAGAGGGCGCTTCATCCTTATATTTTTTCCAGTTCCGGCCTGCATTCTGACCAGAAAGAGAGGGGAATCTTCAGGATATTGACACACTTGCGTATTATCAATGCGCTTCTGGTTAGTGTGCATTTCTGCCATTTGCACTGGGATAACAGCGAGCAACAATACAGGACTGCATTTCATTTTATTTGTGACTTTTTAAGCATTTGCAAATACCATACAGCGCTGCATTATTTATATCTGTAAGTTAAAATAGTATCATCTTATTTACTAATGTAACTGAATGTTTACTTTACTAATCGAACAGTATCTCGAATGACGGATTTGTTGATAAAGACTCTTCTAATCATTAAAACTCAAATAAAAACACTAGACTGTGCAATGTGAATGTAGTTGGCAACAGCAGCAATTTTATTAACCATAATAGTAAAATAAACAACAATGAAAAATTAATTAGCAAAAAATGCAATTTAGCATTGAAACAACAAGGGAGGGGAGCTTTAATCCTAAACGATTAAAAGTAATTGTACCCAAATTCTGTCCTTGGCTTCACCTTCCTAGCTCAAGAACCTCTTACTATAAACCAAGAATCCCTGGAAACAGGGGATAATGGGACCGCTGAAGCCACCAAACCACCAGAAGACCCCATACCAACCTACCAATGTGCCCCCTTTGTAAAAAAAAAAAAAAATCCTGCTGATTTAGCAGATGCCAATGAACTCTACTGGCCTGGTTGGCTGAGAATAAAATGACTCAAGCTTTTCAGCTCCACAGGGGCTTCTGGAATTGTCATCCCTATTCCAACCCTGAACAGCCATTCCTGCAAATCTTACCCACCCAGCTAACTGCCTTCTACAGTAGAGGTAAGCCTCATGCACCAACAAGCCTTAACTCCTTCCTAGCCCTCCAATTCCTCTCCCCAGCTCCACTGTTCATGGACCTCTCACTAAAAACCAAGTATTCCTTAGAAACAGGGGCATAAGGGGACTACCAAAGTCACCAAAATACCAGAGGGTTTCAGACCAACTACCTGATGTGGCCCCACTACAAAATATTCACTACTGATTGATCAGATGCCAATGAACCTACTGGACTAGTTAGCTGGGAATTTAATGGCTCAAGCTTCGCAGTTCCTCAGGAGCTTTTGAAATTGCTGTCCCTAGTCCAAACAGACACAACCGCCACTGAAATTCATCCCTTCTCCAGCTAACCACCTTCTACTAGAGGTAAGTCTCAAGCCTCAACATACCTTAAAAGAGAAGTATGGTGTTTAGCAAATAAAAACAAACAAACCAAAAAAACATACTCACTTTGGTGGATGCACCATTAATCTGATGCTGTATCTGTCTCCTGCCGGCTTTCACAGAGAACTGAGCAATCAAACACCTCTGATCGCTCAGTTCTCCCCCTCTGCTTTGAGCAGAGAGCTGTGACTGTCAGTCTCCAGCTCTATGCTCTGCTCCTCCAGCACTCACTTGAGCTCTGGGATGTGGAGAGGGAGGGAGCAGCTGGCTCAGGCTCTTGGTGGATTGCAGAGAGGCTGAACCAGGTGCCGGTCCAGGATTCTGAGTGGATTCCGACCATTTGGCGGGTTTCTTTTCAGAGCCCGGACCAGCTCTGTGATGTCAGCCAACAGTGGGCTTCAGTCCGCTGTCGGCTGAAAACAATTCACAGGGGGGCAAAACAAACTGCTCTCTTGTGATCCACAGGTGAAATATAGCCAGAAGAGCTTTGGCTATAATTCTCCTTTAACTCTTTCCTAGCCCTCCAATTCCTCCCCTCTAGTTCCTCTGTCTAGCTTTGCTTCTCTTGGACTATTTATTTACTCAACCACCCCAATGCAAGGATGCATTTTACAAAAACAACTTACCCTTGGTTGTTGATAATGCTCCATCGCCATAGTTATAACATTGAGTCCAATCACCCCCGTAATGAACAGGTCCAGATAGTGACTTGTACACATGTGATGTATTAAGAGACGGAGGTGTGAGTACTCCGAATAGTACGGTTTACACTGGGGCTTCTAGAGGCACAACGAAAGTATTAGGCTGTTGATATGTACATAAACTAATGAAATGTATGCATTTATCAACATTATCAATATAAGCACATGTTGCTATCCCAATCATGCATGCATCCCCATGCACTTGCTTTTGCCATGCTCTATGTAAGTAATGCATAAACTAATGCAAAAGAACAAAATAGATGCAAAAACATCATACACAGTCAATGTTAAACTCCTTGGAATTCGACTCCCATGAAAGAAAAATAACACTTACGTTTGCAACTTTTCAAAAATTGTACACAAACTTATAACTTTTAGAACTTACGCCAACACATTTACATTTGTATAAAGAAATATATACACGAAAAATACATATGAGATGTCCAGAGTTCACTTTACAAATAACAAAACAATGTGTACAGAGAACTTCAACGGAAGTGTGCGTCTGAAACAAAACTTACGAACATCCTATGGAAGGACTTGTTGAAGAAAGGATGAAAATGCAAAGAACAGAATGAAAAGCACAGAATACATTGTGCACTGCGGGATATCAATACTGAAGTGATAATGGACTTGCCACAGAATGGGGTGTGTTGGTTGAGGCATTCCAGCCAAAAAATCACAGTCAACAGCTAGTATGATGTGAATGCAATATGTATCTGTTGAGTCTAGGAAAACAATGCCTACTTTTTCAGCTCCGTTGACCCTGATTTGGGAAGTTCCCCTGGCAATTTCTTCTTTGTTCTTCTGCTTGTTAGAGATTGGGGTTGGCTGCACTGACCTTGGGGGGAGGAGCCTCCGAAACATAGGCAGACAGCAGCTGTGAGTTCATCATGGGGAGGAATTCACAGGAGGAACTTGCTGTGTCTTAAAGTGTATGTCCAGCCAAACCTTTTATTTTCAATAGAGTCTAAAAGGGTTCCAACCAAATTTCTGTTCCAGTAACAATGTTTGTAATAGACAGGAAGTGAAGGAAAATCTGCAACAGAGACACAGATGGCAATAAAAAGCTGATAGGGGTTCTAACCCTACTCCATTTCTGTCCATGCTGCTGTTGGAGAATGACCTTCACGGCTTGTCTGGTGAAACTGTTGTCACGTGGAGAGAAAGTGAAGGGAAATCTGTATAATGGAACCCTGGAGAGAAGTAAAAAAAAACCCAATGAGAGATCATTCTACTCTTGCAGATTCTATCCAAAACTACAAAAAAAGTTTTGGCTTGACATACACTTTAAAAGTAAAGGTCTATTGGTAACAAAATGTAGGACCTGCCATTGCTGACCTACTCCAGAACATGGTAGCTGCCTGGCTGTCTTTGGCAAAGTCAATGCTTAGAAAATAATGAAGCCATTGGATTGACATGGCAACCAGCTAACTAGTATTTTCAAAAAGGGATCAGCAATGTTAGCTTCCATACTTCCTCACTGAGTTTCCTTCAACGCTAGTGTGCAAAGGTACTGTAGGTGTAATGTTACTTGCAGGTTGGCCATATCATGCTTCTGTAAAAGAGAAGCTAAAAGTTTCGGACACCATTGTGCCACGTCAATTCATCTATAAACTATCATAAATTTTATAAATCAATATTAATAAATACATTGTGTCCTGTACATAAAAACAATTTGCAATAAAAGCGCTAGAATAATGATAATTATAATTCTAATGGCACGCTGCCCGCACTGGAAATAGCAACCGCACTGGAAACCGGGGTTTCCCGTTCGGGATTCGGTTTCCAAAGATGTGCAGGGACTTCTTCCCTGCATGTCCCGGGGCACGGGAGTCCATTCAAATGCGGATATGTGAACCAGGGGTAAGAGTTAAGGATATGGAGCATTTTGTGGCACAGTTTTTTTAATTAATCAATTTGGACACCATTGATTGGCAATAGGAAACTACAACGCCGTCACCTGAATTATCTCTTACTTCTCACCCCATCCCCCTGTTGTGTTTCTCTCTACTCTTTTCCCTTTTTTCTCCCTCATTTAGTTTCCTTCACTCTTCTACATGACAGGGTTAATATAACAAGATCTATATTATGACATAATGGTTTTCTTCATCTACACTCACCAGCCTCTTTATTAGGTACACCTGTTCAATTGCTAATCAGCCAACCACATGGCAGCAACTCAATGCATTTAGACATCTAGACGTGGTGAAGACGACTTGCTGAAGTTCAAACTGAGCATCAAAATGGGGAAGAAAGGGGATTTAAGTGACTTTGAACATGGCATGGTTGTTAGTGCCAGACGGGCTGGTCTGATTATTCAACAACTGCTGATCTACTGGGATTTTCACACACATCCAACCATCTCTAGAGTTTAGAGATCAGTCCGAAAAAGAGTCCATTGAGTGGTAGTTATGTGGATGAAAATGCCTTGTTGATGTCAGAGGTCAGAGGAGAATGGGCAGACTAGTTCAAGATGACAGAAAGGTAACAGTAACTCAAGTCAATATGGACCAAAATCTTTGAGGAATGTTTCCAACACCTTGTTGAATCTATGCCACGAAGAATTAAGGCAGTTCTGAAGGCTAAAGGGGCTCCAACCCAGTACTAGCAAGGTGCACCTAATAAAGTGGCCGGTGAGTATATATCTTAGTAACCCATGTATAATATGTCTATATCCTTGGATGAATGTAGTTTTGTTTGGCTAACATGGCGTTTGCTTGTCTCGCATCCTATGTTTATGGAACAGTCATGTAAAACTTGACCTTGAAATGTGTTTCTTGCATTTTTGTAATGTTGTAAAACCCAATAAAAACTATTGAAAAAGAGAATCTAAAAGTTTTGAACATAAATATCTTGGTGGTAACAGCTACCATAGCTGTGGGACTCCCTGTGTGTCTTTGCAACTGATGTTCCTCCCTGGTCCTGCCAATCAGAGTAGGTTAGTGGAGTTGCCTACCATAGATTCTTTCATGATAGAAGCGTTTACAATCCTTTCATAGACTTCAGCTCAACCAATCAAAGCCATGAAGCACCAGTAGTGCACATGATCCCTGCCTGTGATATATTAAGCAAGTCTCGACAGTGGTGGGACTCTAGTCCACACTTATTTGTTCGGAAACTAGTGCAGCTAATGCTAATTCTTCTGTGAACTCTTCTTCAGCTAATGCTCATGCACATGTACCAGCACACAGACAAGCCAAGGCTCATATCCAGAGTGCACTGACACGTAGGTGCATTTCTATGCACGTCTTCCCTCATTGGTACCAAGCTGCATATTTAAAGGAGACTAAGTACTAATCACTGGATGTTCTTCAGCTTCCTGCGACCCATGTTCCTGTATTCTTGTTTGTACTGACTGATCCTCCATTGCTGACCCGGCTTGCTGCTGACCTTGCACTGTGGATTCTGGATTTTGACCTCGGCTTGCCTTCTACTACTCTCTGCCTGATCTCCTGGTGCTGTCCTCAGCTTACCTCTGACTATTCTCTGCCTGATCTCCTGGTGTTGACCTCAGCTTACCTCTGACTATTCTCTGCCTGATCTCCTGGTGTTGACCTCAGCTTACCTCTGACTATTCTCTGCCTGATCTCCTGGTGTTGACCTCAGCTTACCTCTGACTATTCTCTGCCTGATCTCCTGGTGTTGACCTCAGCTTACCTCTGACTATTCTCTGCCTGATCTCCTGGTGTTGACCTCAGCTTACCTCTGACTATTCTCTGCCTGATCTCCTGGTGTTGACCTCAGCTTACCTCTCATTATTCTCTGCCTGATCTCCTGGTGCTGTCCTCAGCTTACCTCTGACTATTCTCTGCCTGATCTCCTGGTGTTGACCTCAGCTTACCTCTGACTATTCTCTGCCTGATCTCCTGGTGCTGACCTCGACTTTCTACTGGACCTCGCTCTGCCTGCTAACCTGGTACCGACTCTGGCCTGCCTCCTGAGGCTGCGGTCTCACTGTGTACGACCCTGGCTCACCTTGACTGCATCCCTGACCATGGCAATCACCTGCTATCAAGCTATCGGCACCTGTGCTTCTTTGAGCCTTGTACCTCTGTTACCATATTCAGGGGTGCTTGGACCAGAGCCGCAAGGAAAGCCCTGTCGTCAACTCGGCCTTCAACCATGGTATGTGACACTATTCCTTTATCACCAAGCAGGCAGCTACTGCATTGTTTTAGCTAACAATGTTTAGATGGGTCCTACTGCTACTGAAAATGGTCATGTCTGACTGAAAATAGGCCCAGATAATAACGGGCACAATCCTGCATCTGCCTGCATCAACATTATTTCATCTACATATGTGCATTAGAAGCGCATTTCTGAATTTTGATTTTGAGGTTAGGTCAGGATTGGCTTTCTGGCTGTGTGTTTAATTTTGTCTAGGAATCCGGCGAGAGATCAACCACTTGCAGGTATAGGTTACCAAGCTAAGCCTTTTAGTCAAACTACTGCTGTCACAGTGTCAGGTTCCAAATATTTTGTAAAATAATTCATGACATGGAATGGCACCCAGCAATATTGTATCAAAGGCCCTCTGTAAATATTTTCACGAGCCAATAAAAAATTTCACAGCTGTGCCAATGGGTGGGAAGACTTCCCCAGTGGCATCCCAGTGAACCCAAAACAGGGCAATCAATTCCCATTCCATCTAAAATTCTACATTCTAAAACTCTGCTTTAGGTAGAGTTACTCACTTAATAGGTTCTCTATACAATATATTAATATTTTTATACATATAAAAGAATGTACATTTAGGACATCTTTTTTTATGTTTTTCTATAAAAAGTTCTTAACTGCACCCCAATTTCAGAGTGCAAGATCAGTTTGCAATTTTTCGCCAAAGGGTTGGTATATGACCCTGTGCCTTTAAGGAGGGGTGGGTATGTGTGAGAACCACATTAAAGTCTACATGTAGGGGTCTGTTAATAATAGGTATCTTAACCCAAAAATGGAATATATTGCAGCTTAGCAGTCCTTAGATGTAGTAGCTGAGTTAGTTTTTTATTTCCCAGGCTGAGAACAAGTTTAACAAATACAGAAAATGCCTGTTGGTCTTGCCAGAAATGCAGTGTTCTTGTCATTTTCAGTGAGCTGAAAAGACAGCAAGACAAACTTATATCTCCTTTGTGAACAACTAGTCCCAATCAGGGGTGGACTCATGGGGCCCCTGTGTCCTTGCCCAAACTCAAAAAAGGCTATGAAAAAGGTACCAGGGGCATCTCATGGGGCCCC